ACACACACACACACACACACACACACACACACAGTGCATACAGAGAGATCACATGGAAACCCAGAGGCAGACAGATGTGCACACACACCCACACAGGACCATGTACCCATCCACCCACCTACCTGCACAGGTGTCAGTCAGCATGCTCATACACAAAATGCACACACACAGAAGTGCACATGCAAATACAAACAGGCTTGCCTGTGCACATCCTTGTACACGCACATGGTATGACAATCTACAAAGCCATGTGTAATCTAAGACCCTGCCCCCTTGCACCTCACAGAGGGATCCCTGCCTCACAGGGAAAGGGGCTGAACTCACTGCTATCAGGGTCTGGGAGGTGCCAGAGCCACACAAGGGTCCCCTTACCTTCACCACAATTGGCATCCTGGGGACATGATCCCTGTGGAAGTCGCGAAAGGTGCCATAGTGGCCCTCGTTGAGATAGTACAACAGTTTCCGGGTGCCTCCTGGGAGAGGGGAGAGGACAGGACGGTGCTCAGCCAGGTCTCACCACTGACGGTCAACACTGAGTCCCGCACCCTCAGGACCGGCCCAGACCCTCTGCCCAGCACTGGATAACCCTTGTGTCCTGCTTCAGGAGCCTCCCCGGGTCTCCTGCAATATTTGGGCCTGTCCTCTGGGCTCCCATGGCTCCTCTGCCCCAGCTGTACCTCATCAGAGTGCTATGGCTGCTACTGCCACTAATAATGATTGTACAAGTAACCCTGGCATTGTTCCAACCTGTGTGCACATATTAAATCATTTCATCCTCCTAACGACACTCTGAGTAGGAACAATGAACACTACTGTACATTTGAGGACACTGAGTCTTGCCAGAAGTTACAGAGGAGAATGGGGCAGGGCTGGGATTCGTGCCCCTGTCAGTGCCCGGCTCTCACAGACAGAGAGCAGCGTAATTGTCACCTCCTTCCCTCTAAATGCTCTGCCTCTGTTGATGCCTCACTGAGCACATGGCGGCTTCTCCCCAGTTCCGTCACACTCCGATGTACATCGAGCTGATGCTCACCTGCAGCCCCAGACCCTAGGACATGAACTACTACCAACCACTTTCTGAACAACCACTCCTAGTCCGTCCTTAGATGTTGATTTCCTTAATCTTTCCAAATGGTTTCTGTGGCCCCTGGGGCCATTCCATACCCTTTGAGCATTTAGATGCCCAGATCTTTCTGATTATTGGTTTCCTCTCCCTGGGTCCTCTCACCACCACCACCACCACCACCTTCTCCTGGTGTGAGTCCTCCTGTCCCCGCTCTCTCTCAGATGTAAGCACTGATCCTGCCTCCTGCGCCCACAGCCCCACTTGTCCCTAAGCCAGTTGGTCTTGGGTTAGTCATGGCAGCCCTGAGGCTGGGCGCTCTGCTCGGCTGGCATGTCTGCAAACACAAGGGCAGCAGCCTCTCGGTCGAACAGACCTGGCGCCGCTGTGCACGAGCTGGCTGTGCAGCCTCGGACAGTCACTTCCTCTCTCTGAGCCTCCAGATCTCTGCCTGCAAAATGGGAATGGCCCCAAACTGCCTCACGGGAGGGCTGAGCAGAAATGAGGTAAAACAGTAATTGCTCACATAATAGATCCTTAACCACTGGCAGCTCATGCTATTGTGAAGACAACAATGATAAGCCATAATATGCATAACTCAGGCTTTTGTTAAATGATGGCTGAAATCCTATGCCCCAAATCACAACATTCTCTAATGAGACGCTTTGTGAGGAAATGAAATTAGTGGACCCACGTGCCTTTAGGGTTACAAAGGTGTGTGTAGGGCATTTGTCCAAAGGATAAGGAAATAGATTACAATGACTTAGATTCTGGCTGGTGTAGCTCAGTGGCTGAGCATGAACCTATGACCAGGAGGTCATGGTTCAATTCCCAGTCAGGGCACCCTGCCTGAGTTGTGGGCTCGATCCCCAGTGTGAGATGTGCAGAAGTCAGCCACTCAGGGATTCTCCCTGATCACTGATGTTTCTGTCTTTCTCTCTCCCTTTCCCTTCCTCTCTGAAATCAATAAAAATGTATTTTTAAAATGAAATAAAAATTATTTAGAAATACCATGAGCTGTGCTCTCAGACTTCCCCTCCAGACACAGGAAGAATAAAGACCCTCAATGCCTCCCTCCAGGCTCTCTGAGAACAACACAGTAACGTTACTAACAGGCTCTATCCTGTAGCTAAATCAAAGCATGTTTCCCCCGAATGAGGAAGCCAGGGTGGAACTCAGACCCTCTGTCCCTCCTGCCCCCAAGGCCTGGGGACCCCTGGACAGAGCGCTCCCTGCCCAGTCCGGGCCCACCCACCAGGCTGCAGCACAGCCTTCTTGGCGATGATGTTGACAGCGGCCACGCAGACAGGTGCCGCGTAGAAGCGGCCTGGCTCCGCTATGACTTCAATGCCGGTCCCCTCGGGGAAGTCCTGGGCCAGGGCAGCATTGATCACTCTCGCCATCTGTGGGGACAGACCCGAGCCCTGTGAGGCCAGTCCCTGTGCGGGGTCTTTCCCTGCGTCTTCTCTCTTCATTCCCCTGACAGCTCTGTGGGAAGGTGTCAGCATCCCCTTTGCAGGGGAGGAAACAGGTCAAGACTGTGGCCCAGAGGGGAGAAGTGCCCGAGGGCACAAGCCTAGTGACCAGGCTGTAGCACCATGAGATCTGACTTGGAAACATTGAAATCAATAGGTGATCAGCAAAGGAAAACTGTCCCCTGGGTGTGGGGGATACAGTAAGGAAACCTCTATCTGACTGTAGCCTTACCAGGGGTAGTAACCAACACGTCTATAGAAGGTACAGAACCGCATGCTCCCGTGCAAACACACACACACACACACACACACACACACACACACACACGCATGTAGCGTCAGAGACCTCTCAACCAACACAAAGCCCAGCTACATGCAGGCACAGGACTGAGGTTCAGGAGCTCCCTGTACACACACAAACACTCTGTGCAATAAACCCAGGGTGGGGCCCCCAGATGCCCTCTCCTCCTCCCCTCTTACCTCCTCAAACTCCGGCTCAGAGCCCTCCACTCCGGGGAAGCCCCCTCCAATGTCCAGGAGGCTCATGTCATGCCCGACCCCACGGCCCATCTCAAACACACACCGGCAGTCGGCAATGACCTGTGCGAAGTGGTCGGGATTCTGGCAGCCTGCGCCCACGTGGAAGCTGAGCACAGGTGGAGTGACAGGTGTAGAAACACACAAGGAAACACAAGGGTCAGCAGGAGGAGATACACATTCGGAAACAGCCACACAGGCAAAATGGGAACCAGCACGGACACAGACATGGGGACACACATGACTACATGGAGCTTGTGGGCACCCACAGGAACCACAGCCTTGGCTGTGCAGATGGGGACCCCAGAGACACACACCACATGACAGTCCGTGAGTTGGGGCTCTCGTGGTTGTGGGACAGTCACCTCTCTTAGCTACCCCTCCCAAAGCCTCATGGCAGGGGTTCCTCTTCTCCTCCTCCTTGGAATGCAAGTGATCTGAACCCCAAATCTCAAACCATCAACCAGGGGGCGCAGAGGACCCAATCAGGGGCAGGTGGGGTGAAGTGAGGGAGGATGCTTCTCAGGTTCAACATTCAAGGAGGCACCAAAGCACTGAGCAATCAACGTAAGTATCCTTCATGCACTATCGTGTATAATAAAGAGGTAACATGAAAATTGACCATCATGCCCTCACACACGATGGCGGCCCCCCATGTGGTCACAAGATGGCCATGCCCACCTCATCACAAGATGACCACCACAATATGGCCAGCAGGGGAGGGCAGTTGTGGGTGATCAGGCCGGCAGGGGAGGGCAGTTGGGGGCGACCAAGCCGAGAGGGAGGCAGTTGGGGGGGACCGGGCTGGCAGGGGAGCAGTTAGGCATCATTCAGGCTGGCAGGGGAGTGGTTAGGGGGTGATCAGGCAGGCAGGCGAGCAGTTGGGAGCCAGCAGTTACAGATTGTGAGAGGGATGTCTGACTGCCAGTTTAGGCCTGATCCCACAGGCAGTCAGACATCCCCCGAGGGGTCCCAGATTGAAGAGGGTGCAGTTGGGCTGAGGGACACCCCCGCCCCTAGTGCACAAATTTTGTGCACCTGGCTTCTCATCTTTATATATTAGAGAGAGAGGAAGAGCAAGTGAGAGAGAGACCTCAATTGGTTGCCTCCTGTACACACCCCATCAAGGGATCAAACCTGCTGATGCAAAAATATCCATGATGAATAAAAGACAAAAACGTTAGGAAGGTCAAGGAAGAAAAAAAGGAGACAAATGTACTACTCTTTGTAATATTTTAAGCAATAAAAAAAATACAAAAACTTTAAAGACAAGATTAGTTAACAGTAATTGGACCCATAAGGAAAAGAAAAATCAGATATGCCAATCCTGTCTTGATTTAAAATTTCATATTCTCTCATCATGGATTTTTTCTGCATTAATTTTTTAAATACTGTATTAAACATTATTTATCTGGAGTACAAAGTTTTCAGCATCCCGTTATATTTTGCATCCAAGGCCAGTGCCTTGCCTGCTCCACCCTCCCAGCAGCTGACACCCACCTCCTCTTCTGAGGACCACAGGGAGCCACCAGAGGCCCAGAGGGGCCACGCTGACCCGAGGGCACCCAGGGAGTCAGAGGCTGCGGACAGGCGTGGGGACCAGGAGCCCTGCCTCGCAGGAGGGAGAGTCCGTGCTCTTACCTGGCTCCCACCACAGCCAGGCCTAGGTCTCGGGCGGACTTGAGCAAGTGTCCACACAGCTCCAGGCTGGCCCCAAACTTGGCGCTCATGGGGATGAGGCTCTGGCTGTCCTCGGTCCACAGTCGAAGGACCAGCCTGGGAGGGGGTGTGAGGGTGACAGGCATTCTTAGACACATGAAAGGCATTCTTAGACACATAAACCCCAAGCCTGAATGCTTTGCTGCCCCCACCCAAACTCCTCGGTCCTCGGGACTGTCCAGCCATGGAGGTCCAGGGAGGGAACACACTACTTTTTAAATTTTTTAAAATATATTTGTATTGATTTCAGAAAGGAGGGGAGAGGGAGAGAGAGATAGAAACACCAATGAAGAGAGAGAAGCATTGATCAGCTGCCTCCTGTATGCCCCTTACTGGAGATCAAGCCTGCAACTGGGGCATGTGCCCTTGACATGAATCTAACCCAGGACCCTTGAGTGCACTGACCCGACACTCTATCCACTGAGGCAAACCAGTTAGGGCTACACTACTTCTTACAGACTTCAGCCCGGACAAGAAAAACCAGGAAAAAGATAAAATTATAAACATCCCTTCAGCAGACCTCCTGTCACAGGATCAGAGACGTTAAGTAACTTTCCCATGAACACACAGATGCGACAAGTAAGTCAGAAATGTGACCCCTGGTCTTCCTGAATCCTATCAGTGCTTTTCCCACGAGGTTGCTGCTCCAGACCTCCTAATGCTAGGCTCTGCCAGTGCCTCTGCAGACACAGGAAATCTTTATTTGACACGAGTGGGCACCAGGGAGGGCACTGGAAACCTGGCACTAATTCTTGCTCTTTGCTGCTTAGGCATCTCCTAGTCACCATGGAACAGCCTTCATCATGTTGCTGAGACCCAAGTCAGTTTGCCAGAACTTCCTCCCTGTCCCCACCTGCCTGCAGCCCTGCTGGTCTCACCTGGCCCCAGGGTGGTGCTGGGCCACCTTGGTCAGCTCCTCCTCACTGTCGAAGGTCAGGAGCTGCACCCCATGGCGGGCAGCATACTGCAGGTGGGAGACGGGCTTGCAGGGGTGGGCATAGATGATGCGTGAGGGGGCCACGCCCAGGCCCAGCACCTGCTCCAGCTCCCCCTGCCATGGGCAAAGCCAGAGTAAGGGGCTGCCTCCCTGCTGTCCTGCTTTTTGGGCACAGGAACCACAGGCATGAGGAGCTGTCCCCTACTGAGTCCCTACTGTGCATCTGGCACAGCACTGGGCACAAATTGTGCTACTTAAGCTTCTAGACTGCTCTGAGGAACATATAGTTGAACCCATTTTAAAGACCAAGAAACTGAGGCTCCAGTGAAATGGCTGGGCCAGGACAAAACGGGGTCTGTTGATTAAAGCCCGTGTTCCCTCCACTCCTTAGCTCAGGCTGACTGCCCTCGTCACCTAGACCAGTGGAGGGTGGACCACTCCCAGTTCATTCCTTTATTCTTTCACAAACAACTGGGCACCACACACATCAGCCACTGCTCATGGGCTGCTGTCCCCACTTTGAGACACCTGGCAACTGGCCTTTTTCCTCCAGGAACCGTCAGGCCTATGAATGAGGAAACTGGCTGTGGCCCAAGCTCACCTGGCTGGCACAGTCGAAGCCGGTGCCCAGGGCGGCCAGGACACGCAGCACCCAGGGGCTGCTGTTACACTTCACCGCATAGAAGGGCGAGACCCTTGGCAGGGCCTGGCAGAAGGCCTGGTGGCGGCTGGCCAACACTCCCAGGTCGGCCACCATGAAGGGGTCTCGGTGGTCCTGCCAAGGCAGAGAGAGAGGCAAGAGAGGCTGGGCATTGTGTCACTTCAGTGAATCCTCACAGGGTCTCCATGCGGCAAGTACTACTGTTACCCAGTTAGGAAAAGAGGAAACTGCGGCTCTAAAATCTCTTTTCTCTTTTCTCTTTTTAAAAATGTTTCCTGTTTATTGAACTTATTGGAGTGATACTAGTTACAAAATTATACAGGTGTCATGTGCACTAAGATGTGAGTCTTCCCGTCAAGCTCAGTAGCAACTACATGGCAATGGTAGGATTTGAGTCTTGACCTTCTAACTCTTACAACAGGAAGACAAGAGGGCAACAAGCTTTATAGACCAAATGGGCGCCAGGACTCTCCAACCCTCACCCGGATCGCTTGGCACAGGGTGAAATCCCAGGAGCTGGTGGGGGACTAGAAGGGGACAGGAGAACTACCCCATGCCAGCAGGGAACACAGCTATTCAGTAATGCTTGAAGCCAATTCCAGCATGTCAGCAGGGCTGAATCATCTGGAGATGGCTGAGAGCATTTCCCAAACCCTGAAAAGGATGCATTAAATGATTGCTTGCTGCCAGGCAGGTAAGGGCATCTCAATCTACATGTGATTGCCTCCTACTGGCCAAACACCTGAACAGCCGAAGAAGGGATTTCAATCTGACAATGGATTCTGTACCTAACCCTACCCTTTGATGTGTATATCTCCAACTTGCCTTAGGACAAATTGTGTTAATAATTAGCAAGGGGTCCTGAGACAAGGATAACTTAGTTCCTCTAGCTAAGTCTTCTCTGACTCCCCATAATGCCTTTCAGAATTATGTTTCGTCTCTGGACTCTTGATTAATCTACACACAGTGCCTTCTCCAGATTCCTGAACCCTTCTAGATGCTGGATCAAGACCTCTAGCATTAATGCTTTATGGGGCCTGGACTCTCCAACCCACACCCGGATCACTTGGCACAGGGTGAAATCCCAGGAGCTGGTGGGGGACTAGAAGGGGACAAGAGAACTATCCCATGCCACCAGGGAACACAGCTATTCAGTATGACCTAGTAAACTGACTTATAAAACACAAAGCCTTATTTTGTCCCCGCCTAAGTAGGGACTGAGACCCATCCTCTCCCCTCCCCACTCCATGACCTTCCCCTCCCCTCCCTCCTCTCCCCTCACCGAATCAGAGAGCTCCCGGATCTTCTTCAAGACCACCTCCATGGCAGATTCCTCAGGCCCCAGGGGGATGATATCCTTCATCAAGGAGCTTCCAGGGTGTCCTTCGTTCTCCTTCGAGTCCGTGAGGGTGGTACTCACCCCTGACTGTCCAACAGAGCCCTCTGCCACGGACACTCCCAGCAACCTGGAAAGGCCTTGCTCTGAGGACACTCCTCCCTCCTCCTCCTCCCAGCGCCCTGCTGGCCCGTGGAGCCAGAGTTCCTAGGTCAGTAAGTCCTCGGCCTCCCATGCAGCCACATAGAGCTGCATGGATCCCTCATGAACTTTCCCATCTGTAGGATGGACCACTGGCCAGGCCCAGCCTGCTTCAGGGACCTACTATGAAACCAAACAAGTTGCACAAAATTGCCAGGCTGGTGTTGCTCAGTGGTTGAGTATTGACCCATGAACCAGGGGATCAGGGTTTGATACCACATCAGGGCACATGCCTAATTTGAGGGTTTGATCTCCTTTGGAGGTGTGCAGGAGGCTAAAGATCGATCATTCTCTCTCATCATTGATGTTTCTATCTCTCTCACTTCCTCTGTCTAAAATCAATAAAAACATATTTTTGAAAAGATACACAAAACATGCACCTACCTTAGATGGTTGGCATCCTCTTCTAGGCTCCTTCACACACATTTTCCCATTCACAGATGAGAAATGTGACCCACAGAAAAGATAAGTGCAGAGTCCACGATCTTTAGATTATAGGGCTAGCTGCGACCCAGGGGGTCATCTAGCCCAACATTCCACTTTACACATGTGGACAAGTGACCCAGAGAGAGGAAAGGACTTGCCTAAGGTCACCAAGTGGCCAGTAGCTGAACTGGGACTGGCACCTGGGCCGCCAAAAGCAGCCACTGCACCTGCTGCTGGGCACCCATCCCTGAGAATTAAGTGAGGGCCACCTACAGCCTCAGCCCTTCTGTTTCAGCAGTTGGGGCTGCACCCATGGGCTCCACTCCACCCCCAGACTCACCTGGTGCCGATCATCACCTGCTTCTTCAGGCCCAGCACAGGGGACCAGGACCTGTGTTGTCTTGGGCTTCAGGTAAATCCCTTTGGGAAGAGCAGAACTCAGCTCAGATCTCAGGCCAGGTGAAGAACCTGTGAAGCTGTCCCTCCAAACCATGGCTACCACCACCCACTCAGCCAAAACTTCCCAGGTCTGAGTGGGCCACACAACAGGCCCTCAGAGTGAGGTCAGACTCCCATTATAAATGAACACCAGTGA